CAGCCCTTCAATTGAAGACAGCAAAACATCCCAGGCTAAAAGTTGTGAGAACAGCTAATAGTGGTGTGTGGGCAAAGTTGATAAAAGTGTGTTTGACATAAAAGAAAAACTGAGAATATATTCAAGATGACAAAACAGATAATGAAGTTGGTCATTATTAGCAAAAAGTAGAAAAATCCACACTTCAGTTATTTTCTGTTTCCAACATCAAAGCAGAACGGTTTCCCGTTTTTCGGTGGAGGCAGTATTGGAATCGACAGTACATAAGCAAATCACCTTTTTTTCTCCCCCTTTTTTCGATTTCATTACCGTAATTACAGCTCCCAACCCGAAGTGTCAGGATCTGTCAAATGTCAGACCAGCAAACATGCCTCTTGTGTCATCTGTCACTGAGCAAATTGAAGCCTGGGTGTAATGTCACGCCGCTGTGAGCACAAACATAGTAATTGAGAGGTGAACTGAGTGACAGGGATGAGCATCCAGGCAGGAAAACAGTGAACAGAGGCCTGATGAAAACCTGGAGCTCTGATCGTATTTTTCTAGCCCCGGCAATAAAGGCTATTGTACGAGAAATACAGAAAAGATAAGCACCACACACACAAACACACACTCAGATGAGCTATCTACAAAAGAACACACAACCTCTGAAATAAAGCCAAAGTAATTCAGCCCCTCTCTTCAAAGAGATGGGGTGGAAGGTTTTTCTTAGATTTCCATCATGAAGTACATGAGGCCAAAAACACACAAACATGACAGGGCCTTGACCCCCACAGAAGTGAGAAGTTTAGTCTTTAACTCTGCAAGTAAATCGTTATTCTAAATGCGTTATACTCAATCTGTCAACAAAGGCTATAAATACGCAAAATCATGTTAAAACTACATCTTTGAGCCAGAGCTCTTTTGTTTCCAAGAACAATGGTTACACAAACATCACTGTGCCAAATGATTGTAGTACGTGCTGTGAGTCATTACTGCTGTAAGGAAATAGGGGCTCTGTATGCAGTTTATTTGAATCTCTCAACACAGAATGAGATTAGCAATTGCTTTCAATCTTTGGAGAGCTGTTTTACTGCAGGGTTCATGTAAACATGCAGCTGAATCGACAAAGCTCTGCAAGCTTGTTAGGCTACATATCAGAACCTGTTGACTTTGTTCCAACACACAAATGCAGAAAGCCTTTAAAATTACTGTTACCTCATCAACTTTTTTTCATTTTATTCGGTAAGAGCCCTGAACTTTGTTAAATTGTATTGGATTTTTGGTGAAAGAGTCAAACAAAGCAGAGCACGGGTTTACAGTAGAATTATTGAATGATAAATGGTTTCAAGGATTCGTTTTTGTTTTTTAAATCTGAATAGTGCAACGTGTATTTAGCCCTCCTCATATTTAAAGCTAAATATAAAAATGTACCTCCTTTTTAATTAATTTTATTTATCACATATGTTTAAAACTATGTTTGATTAGCCTTATATTGAATTTATTGTGGGGTACCAAAAGGGTTCCTAAACTTTTCCAAGCTGCAGCCCCCCCAAAAAACGATTATGGTTTGGTCAGGAAGACCCTGTTATGCAAACTAACAAATTATTCTACAAAATGGGTAAAAAATAAAGATAAAAAAATTAATATAAAATTGTATTCAGCATAAGAATAATAACCTTTGTCAACAGTGTATTATGTTTATCTTTAAAGCTAAAACAAGTCACATTCACACGTGTGTTATTACGAAAGAGAAAAGGCCTTTTCTGTCAGATAAGGAAGGATAGTTCTTTCCTACATAATTTCCCTCAAAGCTAATTTTTAAATCCCTAGTTTTTTGCTAATGTCATATATACCAACACACATTACTATGAATACATATAATAACAATAAATATGTTATATTTAATGAATAATAATGTTTAAAAAATATAATCGTTCATGATGAAAAAGAAAAAATTTACATTTCTTTCTCCACTGGGCTGTTACAAACGATGACCATAAAATAGATAAAAATGTGCTGCTGTAGCTAAACAAAATAATAGATTAAAGGGGTTTAAATACTTCAGGAAAGTTACTGCATGTCAGATGATTCAGATGACAAAATCTGAATACAAGTGGGCAGCGTTATTCGTTTGTTATTAAGCATTGAGTGGAAGAAGCAGAGTGAGCTGCACTGATGGTGAAGGCCTGAGGACAAGAGCTGACAGTACCAACGCTGGGTCATCTACAGCTCTGGTAAAAGAAGAGAATGTGGATTACAGCCTGAATCCAACACTTTGGAGGCTGCATTACAGGGGCTGCACAATGGCACAGATTGCATAGATGGTTTTATGAAAGATAAAAGCAAAGGTCCTCCATTTATGCTGGCCAAATAAAAAAAAAAGTACTCAAAAATCAAACGTAGTAGGAGTATATGAGTGTGCATGTGTTTTACAATTGGGTTAACATTATGTCATAGAGATGTTTTTAAAAAAAACAATCCAAAAAACACTGATATAACTTCTTATGCGATTTTAGAAAATGTAAATAGCAGGAGAAGGATCATTTGATTGAGCAATTAAAACATCTGGAAGTGGGAAAAATCACGTTTGGTTCATTTCAGTGATTTAACATCCAAAAGAAAAGCCATTTTGTTAGCATTTAAGCGACTTGGGTTAAACAAATCGCATTAAAACGGGTTATAGCTCAAAGCAGAAACATAGAAACCCTATTCTTTCTGTAAAGCAAAGGTCCGCTCACTATTAAGGAAAACCTGGCATTGAGGGCATGCAAGCAACTGATTACGTGATGCTCAAAGGTCAAAATATGACTCAGCTAGGAATCAGAGAAATAACTAGCTGTACTTTGTATGAAAGAAGGTACAAACGCTATAAGGTAGTCACCAGGGTCATTTAGTGTTTTCTTCTAAAGAGATGATGCCTAAGCATTCAGTCTTTGCTTTTTGACAGAAGGTTGTCTTAATAACTACTGCTTCAATCCAAACTGAAAAACTTTAATAAACAGTTAGGCTGGTATGGTGTAGTTGCAGACAAACTGTTAAAGATAACCACAAGGTTGACAGAGAAATGTGCATTGGAACAATAAGAAGACATAAATTATCCAGGAATATTACATTTAAGGTTCCCAATTCATATAGAAAAACCCTGAATCCCTAGCTTCTCTGTGAAATTAACTTAAACCAAATCATTGATCTCTGACATTCATCTTGATGACAAAAAAAGAAAGAAATTATTATATGGAAACCCAGTGGCATGTAGATTATGGTAGTTTAAGGAGAAATTTTGAATTACCTTACTATGATGTTATAGTTTATAAAACCTACTCACAACATACCAAGTTGAGCCTTCTCATTCAGATAAATCTCACACTTTCTTTGTAAAATGCAGTCGGCGCTCAATTTGAGTGTTTTTATAAGTGCAAGGTTGTTCTGGTTGCTAAGTGAAAAAAACGTAACCAATATCTAATAAAAAAGAGGAAGGAAGGTCATCTTACTGTTGAGGAGAAAGTGCAAAAAATGATAATACTTTTTGGAGGCTCTGAAAAACAGACTTCTTGACCCCACTGAATAAGGGAGCATGTTCAACAGAAGTGTGTCTCCGGTGAGAGGAAAGATAAGTGCAGACTACATGTGTGACCATATGTTTGAAAAATATAGTGACAAATTAAAACGCACTTCATTCCCAGTCTGTTTAGGTCATCTTTGATGTTTATCTGTCTTTGTTTTGGACAGCAAAGAAAACAGAGCTTAAAAGAAAAAAGAAAGGGATGAGATACTGCTCTGTCCATTTGATGTTTCTTGGGGGGCTTGGTCTGCCGGTGTTCCATGAATCTATGTTGGCCTGTCCAATCTACCACCCTGAGATCTGCTGTGAAAACAGCCCGAGGGTGTGCAGCACCAACAGACGCAAGAAATTGATTAAGTCTGCTCAGACCTGGGTGAAGGTTAACATCTGTATGCAGTGAAGGATATTTTCAAAACGTCTCCCTAGATCACCGACCATATCTTCTGCCCATCTGTCCTGGGATGCCAGAGGAACAAGTTCACCAAGTGACTCAAACGGACCGATTCCCCAGGCAGTAAATACACTTCATCTAAATCTTTGTTCTTGCATTACTGTTGCATCTAAGCTTCATGTTTTGTTTAAAGCTGTATCTATATGCCAAATGTGTCCAAAGCGTGGCCTGGAGGACATTTATGGCAAAGCGCATGATATTGTGAGAGTGCCTGGAGCATATTCCAGATTAAAGCAAATCCAAGCACAGGTTTAGGTGAACTACTGTACCATTTCAAATTTTTGAGGAGAAAATCCAGAAACAAAGTCTTATCACAAAAATCCAAAAACCTTTACTATGAGGCAGAGTTGTACTATAAACAATGGACTAAAATATTATTTCTATTTTATATCTACAGTGAGCTGTAGAACCCATTTTAGAAAAATTCAGAAAATCGTGTTCCTTGCTCTATAGTTTCACATTTATTTTGCTTTGAGAAGATAAAATCCTCAGTCTTATTTTTTGTGTTATTTTGTGGTTGATGTTTTTGGCCTTTCATTTGTTCAGGGATTGCAATTTTCTGCTATATTTAAACAAAATCAAATGATAAATTGTGCTGTACTCATTTTTCATAATTTTCTCTAGAAATTCAATTATTGATCTCTTTTTAATTACTTCTTATTATCATTCAATCTAATATGTAGTTTATTGTTCATCTGGAAGATAACTAGGTGTTACCTTGGTTTTTGAGTCTAAGCAATTACACCTAAATGTGAAAACCTGAATAGGGTTATTACTTTTACCGGCATATTAAAATCCACAGATATTTTATATTATATCCACAGTAGTAAACCAAGTAAGCATAAATACTAAATTATGCCATTTTTTAATCTTAACTTCCATGTTTGATCATTTTTATACAGAATATTTAGGTTTTGTTTGCTAAGTGAACTCAGGAGCTATATTATTTTGAAGATGAAATGCAGGTGCCATTAAAATACAAAAAAAAAAGAAAAAATCTTAGCTCACCATCATCTTCTCGAAGAGGTCAACTATTTCTTTTTCTGAGAGGTTATTGGATCTCTCGTCAAAAAAAGGCTGTGGCAGAGGCAGTTCTGTTTGGGTAGAGTTGGGATCGGTCGGGTGTTGGATGAGAGGCTTCTCCTTCTTTGCCCCTGTTTTCCTGAAACTTGTAATACGGTCTCGCTGAAAGAAAAACAACGTTGAAGAAATTAAAATATTGCACTAAGTGTGTGGGAAGGAGGAGAAGGAAAACATTAGTTTTAGTTTGCCTGTACTATAAACACCACATGCATCAACAGGTTATAAAATGTTCTGCTACTAACAATTATTTTTACCAGAGTTTACAGTAAACATAAGATGATTATATTGAAGACTCAAAAGGTACGACTGCAAACAAAAACATGTAGGTAGAATCACAATCATTATGACCAACATAAAACATTAGTTTTTCTTTATCTTAACACTGAAACCAAATTAAAAAAAGGTTTAAATATCTGCAGATAAGCAATAAGATATTCCATTAAACATGTCAGATCTTTACTTACCGTCAGAGCTGCCATAATAAACTGTTTTGTAATGATGGCATTTAAATAATTCAAGGACATTATTCCATATTCAGTTTATGTTGCGATTAGAAACATTCCTAATTAAATTCAATGGATTAAATCTAGTGACATTAATTCTGTACAGAAACAAAGATGGAGCACATGCGGGAGGGGGGTTCATTGTTAGGTTTATGAAGAAACATTGCGGGAAGTCATGCAAATGAGATGAGGACACTTAAAACATGCATGATAACAAATGATGTACTGAAGATGAATAAATTATTCAATGGATCAAATGTACTGTAGGGTTTACAGTTAGGCTGACTGTTAAAATTGTCCAAATACATTTAAGAGACATTAAACTGATTGATTAATTTAATAACAAATATTTATTAAAAAAACTATTTAAGGAGGTTGTGACTATCGGCTCCCTCCATAATTACTCGCACCCCTGGTACACAAGCCTTAAAATATGTTTTTATTAAAACTGTGAGGTGCCAAGCTCCCTCATGTAGTTAGATTTAATAGTGGGATTAATTAAATTTTCTTACTTCCTATTTGATGTCAATGCTGGCTGGATAAACTTGTTTTGCCTCAGTCCCAATCATTTAAAAAAAATTAAGTATAACCCATTGTGCATTACAACTATAAAAAAAAAACTAGGATTGAACTAAGTTAAAAAAAATATTTTCATAATTTTAATTGGTTTTTGCACATTCAGCTTTAAAGCCTAAAAACATCCCATTTTTGTTGTTGTAGTTAGTTAGCATTAGCTTCAGCGTTTTTGTTCATATTTATTCCCCCCTCCTTCTCAGTTATATAAAGCAACTATAGATAGTCCATGTCCTTATTTGGAACAGGAAATTCTTAAACACATTTTATTACTTAATGTTTTTTTTTTCTCAGAATCATTCTACTTTTAATTAGAGGTTTTTTTCACAAGAAATATATAGAAATATCCAGGATTTATACATCTATAACAGGAGGGAAAGAATGCACACTTAATAGTAATTCACAATAGATTATGAGACCAGTTTATAGTTGTGCATTAAGATTTTTCCACACTAAATTCCCTTGAATAATGTATGCTCCTGACTTTCCAGTGCTGAAGAAAGTAAAACAGTACAGGTCAAGTCTATAGCTCATTAAATTCTTAATATGGAGTTGGAACCCCACTGAATGAATCTGAATATTTCTTTACAAAAGGTTATTTGCAAATTTAGGCTACAGAGAACAAATAAATAATTTTTACATTTACACTTTCTTATACAGGGTACGATAATTATAGAGCAATTTGAGAATTATTTAAATCTACTGGGGAGGAAAAACTAAAAATGAGCTTAAACTCTCTGCTTTTTTATTTTGAATTTGGGCACATTTGATCCATTCATAAATGTCTGCTTCAAGTGTCATGCAGCCATGGACAACAAGTGAAAAATATGTAGAACAAAGCTAGTCACACTAAAATGTAACCAAGCACCTTACCATGTCATCAGCCAGTGTTTTTATGTGTATGTTCTGTTGGAGGGAGGGCACAGAATGAAAACAATACCTAACAGAAAATTGAAATTCCACCTCTTCACATGTTGTTTTCTCAGATTACTTCTCATTTGCGAGATCGTTTCATGAAAAACATGAAGCGTGAATGCCAAATGTAGAGCCTTGTTTAATTTAGAAGACAAATGAGCAAATCTTGAGCATCGTACATGTGGATATGACATTTAATAATCCCAAATAAACGGAAATCAAATAAATGTGTATAGCCCAAGGACACACATTTGAAATGTAACACCCACACATAGAGTAGACATAGGCCAGTTATTGGTATCCAGGTAAACCATGTTTTTAAAAACATGCCATATGGATTTTTTGGCTATATGGTGCAGAGACTAATGCCAACAAATGCAGTATAATTGTTTTTTTTCATAATTTAATAAAAAATAAATTGTTTCAATAATACTAGACTGAGGCACTTTAACCCAAGGTTATACCATGACAAACTAATAATGGCCAATGCCTAGACAGTTTACATGAATCTTAAATAAAACCTATAAAATCCTTCACCCACACTGGTTTGTCCACTGTAAACATGCGGGTTAGTTTTGCTTAAATCAAGTTGTGTATCAAATCATCAAAAAGTTGCACCCAATGCCGAGGCACAAAGAGTGATTTAATTTCTACGACACTGCCTCTGAAGAACATCTCTTGTGGTGACAGGCACTGGAAAGATTTACACCAGAACTTCGGCTTGAACAGATGTTTATCTTCTCCTCAAACACAATAAGAAAATCTGCTGCCACAGGCTTGTGGCTCAGCAAGGGACGGCCGTTTGAAACACACCTCAAATGGGAATCGGTAACAACTCTGCCATATGTTGTGGCACTAGGCTGTAAAGTACTAATGAGTCAGGAGATGTGGGGCTGTGATGGTCATAAAGCTTGCCTCCAGCCGTGGATTTCTCTACTCTTCTAATCAGGAAACTAGAGATACTGGGGCGAGACAACAAATCGGCATAACCTGAATCTCTCTCTGTGAGTCTCCATCAGTTGTCTCCCTTGGCAAATCTGTATAGACCCTCAAATTGCCTAATCTGTCACTACCTTAGTCTGCAACAGCTGATCAACAGTTGGGTGATTAAGCGATTAACACAAGAAAAAATGTAAATCTTTTGCTGGTTTCATGTGTTCCCTGAAGTACTATTCCATATCAACATATCAGACAGGTCGTCATCAGCATGCATCATATCAAGATGATTCCAATAGCTTCACTTTCCCTGCAGGAGCCATGTAACCACCTGGGCTTGACTAATCCAGACAAACAGCAGTTCCACAGAGGCTAAATTAGTTGCATTTAACAAAGCCGCATCACTACTCATAACAACACCCTGACCTGAGCAACAACTTTTCCCATTACTAACTCAAAGCGTATGTGTCATTAAGCTCAGCATTCGCAGGCAGTCAAAAACTGCGTGAAACAATAGCTAATTTACAGACAGAGTACTTAAACATTTTCTAATCAATTTAACAACAATCAAACCACTGTTTGGTTAATTGCCTTGACTTGAGGGCCTTTCTTTGCCCATTATCTTGGCAGCATCGCAACATTGCAATTAAACACCTAACAGTTAAGCTTCTATGTCCTCTGGGCTTTGTGTGCTTATTAAAGTAAACTTTTTCATCATAATAAATGTTTATTACCAAACACATATTTCCGCTAAATAACCTAATCAAATTAGCTCTGGGTCCCTCCTTAATCAAATCTGATCATGAGTCCGTGCAGATCCTCAAAAATGAAAACACAAAGCAATATCCCACAACTTGAAAGGCAATCTGGGCACACAGAGCTGAACCAGTATGCACATTTCACCAAACAACTTCTAATATTGCTATAACTAACTTCAGCTGAATGTGAAACATATTGTTGAATTGCTCCATTTATTGGAAACCCATACCAGGTGGCGCATGTAATAACCTGACTTCTGAGAGGGAGAGAAGATAAATGTTGCTTCAGAGTGACTATAACTCCACAGCTTTTAAAAAGCAGAGTTCCTGCGCTCAGCTAATTTAACTTGAGCATCTGTATGGTGTATTTAATTCACTCACTGGAACTATCACTATAAAAATCAGAGACCCCAATGCCTTTGTAAAACAACTTGAAGGAAATTAGTTTTTACTTTAATTAGTTACAGCCATAGAAAGTTATTGTCTGGATATACAATGTTGTGGAAAAAAAGCATTTCTCTTGTAAGAGATTTCTTGTTTGTTTTTTTTTTTTTTTGTTTTTTTTTGTTCAACTAAAATGTTTCAGGTTAGACACATTTAAATATTAAATATAATGATAGTAAATTCAAAATGCAGTTTAAGAAAAAAATACTGTCCAAGCCATGTGAAATAGTATTAGTCCCTAAACCTAATAGCAGCTTGTGACGAACTTGGCAGCAGCTATCATCGATAAAACTACTATCAAAAAGTGACGAGTCTGAAATCGATGTGGAAAAAAATAAGTAAAAAAAAAAAAATGGCTGACTTGTTGAATTTAATGATACTTTTTCCTTTTAATAAATTAGGATATTTAAACATTAAGAGCCTGTTTAAAATCCTTCCACATCTCAATATAGACTGACTAGTCTACTTGAAAGGCTGATATTCTTTCAGATGTGGAGTAATTTTAGTGCGGCAGCCACTCCTAGGTAAGTTCTCCACTGCTTTACGTTTCTTTTATTTTTCAATGTTTATATAATGGCTCTCAGTGTGTTGCGTTCAAGTCCCAAATGTCTGAAATCAGTTCATCTTGTCTTGCTATTGAGATAATTTAGCCAACTCTCTCAGCTTTTTACCCTGCAGCACCACTAAGAGTCATCTCACCATGAAGTCCTAGGAGCTCTCCAAACAAGTCAGGGACAATGTTAAGGAGAATAGGTGGGTTACAAAAAAAACATCTTAATCTTTGATCAACCAAGTTGATCAACGCCTCTTGGATAAGAGGCGAAATGCCTTTTAGAAAACTTCACGCCCGGTTTCCTAAACTGAACTTTCAAGCTTAAACATGACCTGGATGACTGAAAATCTTTACAGATATTAACCAAGTGTCTTCAAATCGATTACCTTTTTATTGAAAGACCATGGTACCTCAACACGCCTGCCAGGAGACGGGTACCCAGTAAAACTAAGAACAGTCAGCAAAGACATTATTCAGAGAGGCAGAGACCAATTTTAACAGAACTCCATGGCAAAGGCCATGTGGATGGTGTTAAATTCAAAGGATATCCTTGAGCAAAACCTGCATAGGTCTGCCTGTTATTTCAATTGAGGTTTACCTTGTGGCGAAATAAAATATTCCACCAGTATAATTATCTAAGGGGAAAACTTTTCAGTGTGTTAGAACAGCCTAGTGAGTCTTTACCTCAACCCAACAGAGACTGTGTAAATTAAAGTGTGCTGGGGTGAATAATTCATGGAATCATCCAAATATTACCTAGCCTGATAAACCAGACTAAATGTGAGATTAAATGTGTAATTTCGTCTGGCCCCGATTGATGAGATATCACAAGATTATTGATGAGAACAACCCGTTGTTTTTCAAACCATGTCTGTGCCTATTGGCCAACGCTCTAACCAACTGACTGTGACGTTGAAGCTGGTGGGGGAGTGTAAACAAACAGCCTGTCGGTAAAACGGTGAATACGTCCCTCTTAAAAATAAATGAGTGTAGAGCCTCTTCCTGCTCGCGTTTCAACAAAAACCCAGAGTCTAATCCTTCAGAAACAGATTCTAAAGCAGAGTCAAACGAGAACTGTTTAATAGTTGTTGCCATATTCCTTGTAGGGATTTCTCCAGCCTTCGCGCAGCATTGTCATCCCTCCCTTAAAACCCAGCCTGCTTGCATCCAGAAATTCACAACACATCTCTGCGTTGTGATTGGCCTGCCAGTTCTAGGGCCTTGGGCATTGATCGAGGCTAGACCACTCACAGGCAAAAATTATTTTGGCTGCTGGCGGGTGGGGCTAGTTTACTAGGATATATATTACTAAAAAAAAGAACTTCTGAAACAATGACAGTAAAAGGCACATTAAAACATCAGCTTATTTAATATTCTTTGTGCCAAGTTGCTATATTGAGTCCATTAAGAATAGAAGAAACATAAAGCTTGCATTCAATCAAATACAACAAAGTCCACCAAAGTCAGGCATTAGTGACGTTCTTTTTCCAATCAGAAAATTACCCATATTATCTTCATGTAATCAAATAAGATGAACATTATTCCTTCTGAGCAATTCCAGGGAGTGGTATCAGACAGAACTGAATTTCCATCTAACTGAATTAGACAAGAATAAACAGTTTAAACTGCCTGATTTTTCTTAATGGTCAACTTGGCCAATATGTATTTCCCTTTATGCTTTGCATGTGAACAAACACTATTAAACATTTTAGGGGTAACTATAGACAACCACATAGGCCAAGCTCATGATCAGATGTTGGGAGTCATATAAGTAATCTACAAAGCTTAATCTTTCTGTTTTTTTCTGGTTAAAATTTCTTATTTTATACTTATCAGACCCTGATCCAAACTGTTGAATCGGAATTAGAGCTGTCGATAAGACACTTATTTTCCCGAAAGACTATGGAGAAGTGGGAAATATTACGTACTCCTACCCATCAACAGTAATGCACAATTAAAGCACTTAAAGGTGGAAATGCAATTATTAGGACAGGGCTTAAGGTCAAACTGTGTCTTGAATTAAGCTCTAGGGGGCACAATAGGTCACAGAGAGGTTATTAGCATCATTACTTTTATTGTTCAAGAGATTTCAATAAGTTATAAGCAACATATTGTGAATTCAATCTCATACAACTAAATAGATTTATAACTTAAATATATACACCTCTTTTCTTTTTCTTTTTGTGAAAAGAATTTTGCCCAATCCACAAAAGGCAGGCTCATGCCCGTGTCTATGTTTCACAGATGGGTATAAACCAATTCATCAGTAGACTAATATTTTGAGCTGATGAATTTGAACC